TAGTCTCTTACTGTGGTAATGGAGTCGGGGAGAGATGCATTGAGCCATGTTTCACAGACAAATATAATGTCGAATTTAGCCATATTTAGTAGGAGGAAAAATTCAGATATTTTATTCACGAGGCTTCTTGCATTGAGTAGTTTGCATTTAAGGCCAGCAGTAGTTGGAATTGAGGTAGTTAGGGGCGTGCATGCCTAGTCTTGGGTGATGGTGGATCGGTTGAGGTAGGGTTGTGGTTGAGGGTTAAAGCTGAGTTGCGGGTTGTGTGGCTTACTTTTGATACAGTCAGCATGGTAGTCAATGTACAGGTCCTTCTCTCCATTGTCTAGACGTTTTTTGAGTTCAGTGCGGAGTACACGGGAGCGGGCACGTTGCTGTATGGTTAGGTCAGGGCGACAACGGAGGTTCTTATGGTTGGTGTTGGTTTTGGCGAGTGAATTTATAGTGTAAATGAATTTACGTTTGCTTGATTCATTTTTGCAAATGACTCTGCACAAGCGTGGGGCCACAGAGCCGTCTCTGTTTTTGAGCTCTCGGCCAATGCGGGAAATGTCAAGTATTTCATCAGCGGAGATGGTTGATGCTTGATAATCACTGATGATGTTTCGGACAGTTGTGATGTCATCATTGTCATTGATGTCCTCTAGACCAAATAAGATGGCGTTTGGACGTTTCCGTTCATGCTCAACAGCTTCTCTGATGAGGATTGGGATATCAATATTTGTCTGGGTTGTGTTTTTTTGTGGATTGGGTTTTGGATTGGGTTGTGGTTGTTGGATAGAGATGTAGAGATGTGAAAGATAGATCCAAAAGAGCCCTTATCTTCTTTTTTCAGTCTTTGAAATTCCATTTGTAATCCTTCAAAGATAATGCCATTTTTTCTTTCTTTCTTTTTTAACGCAACTCTAATGTCTTTAATCCCTTTTTTTAACAAGCTTTCACCGAAATCTCAAAGTCACAAAGCAAACCAAATCAGAGCAAACAGTTTCATTTAGCACTTTCTTCTTTCTATCTTTTCACCTCCTTTAGGGTAGAATTCAAACACACACTTCTCAGATGATCTTCTAGAAGTCTTAATGTCTTTTAATCCTGTTCTTATAAGCTCAAAGCAATCTCCTTCAGTACAATCTTATAATGAGTCTTTATCTCTTCCCTTCCCCTTGTAAAAAATAAAAGGAATTTTAAGTTTTTTAAATCCAATGTCCAGAAATCCTTTATCCCTTGGCTTTAAGTTTTAAATTAAATTACCTTCGGTGCCCAAGTAGATTTTCCAGATCTCTGTCTGTTATTTCTATGGGGAGGGAGAATAAAAAAAAAACTTCCCCTTAACAGCTTTCACCACAGCTTTCCAATCTTCTTTGGGAAACAATGTATCCTCAGGCAATTCAAGCAGTTCAGTTTCCAGGGTATTTAAGAGTTGTTATTGTCTCGGCTCAGCCAACACTTTCACTTTCAGTTTCCTCCAGCACAAATCTTACCCGGCTGCAGGTTTCTTTGTGACGGCCATCACTGACCGCCGCTCCACCACCTTGGGAAAAAGGGGTTTTTCCGGCTGGGGAGCGGGTCTGCGACACCCTCAAACCCCTGTCCGGATCCCCTCTCTCTTAGGCTGCCTCTACAGGGCAGCCATATCCCCCAGACCCATTTGGATCAAGGGCACCTTGGCAGCAAGCACAGCAGGAATCGCGAGCAGTCATGAATTCCTGCTGCCGCCGAAGCCACGCAACCGGAAGGGCTAGTATATTAAGTGAATATAAATTTTGATTGATGTCTGTATAAAAAGAGTTAACTCGGGGTAAGCCACCTTCCAAAAAGAAGTTTTATGTATTTATGTTTTGTGTAATGTTTGTTTAAGTCTGACAGGATGTGGAAGAATACTAATGAAAATATATTCAATGAGTATATATTTTTAAGGCAGAAGAAATATGATTAAATAGAAGGAAAGGGAGTAATAAAGAAAAGTTTTGAAAAGATATTAAGTTTATTAGATAAG